AAGTATAAAAATTATTAATGACTGTGTTCCCAGCTTACAACTGTGTACAATGCGTGGTTGGTCGAATATAATCTCATGTTCACATGAAACATAATAGAAACATGAAACACACACTGTCAGATGATATCGTACATAGCATCTTAATAGTGTTACTTGCTGTAACCAACCATAGCTCTTGCATTAACGATTGATATCTGTTTTATTAGTTTGTTAATTTTGACACGTAACCGACAATGCATCGAACAATATTTGTATAAATAATTGCATTATGCCAGCCATCTTATGGTCACGTGGGCTATTGATTGACACGTGTATATGTCAACACTTCGTCATGACATTCATTCCCCACGGCCAGATCATTCAAGTGTAGAAATTGCTATGAAAATCGACACGATTGTTTTCTTTTAATCTCAGTTTGCTATTGTGATATGAATTTAATATTGTAACTGCTCTGTGTAGAGATTGATTTTGACAATATCAATTACCGTCTTGACTTGGTTTAATGACAGGCTCCTCAATGGTGTTTACACGTGAAACTGACAGTTGTTATTTCCATGTTATATGGACAGGCGTTGCGCAGGGTTCTGAATACAACCAAATGCCAACACTTCCACGTGTACACACCATGGGTGTGGAAACAATAGCATTATCTAGTGTACATGTGTGATTGTGAATTTTCAGTGGGCATTATACTTCGGTACATGTATTGGTAAACATAATCCAAAATAAAGACAAACGTGCGCTATTGGATTACAGCGGGAAATTTCGAAGAGCACACATATATAGTCATTAATATCTGCCAATTTCAAGTGTACAGGAAATTATTTGAATGGGGGTGGGCTTTCTAAATATGTAATCTTTTAGAAAGATTTACACTGTTTCGGAATTTCAGCTTTCAGAAATGGAAATATTTCTTGTCAGTTTGATTTCCTATGTAGATGCAGTAATATGCGGTGACGGAATTCGTTGTGATTGAACCCGTGAAGATCCGGGTTAGAATTGATCTTCAGTAACCCATGCTTGTCGTAAGAGGCAACTAACGGGATCGGGTGGTCAGGCTCGCTGACTTGGTTGACACATGTCATCGTATCCCAATTGCGTAGATCGATGTTCATGATGTTGATCACTGGATTGTCTGGTCCAGACTCGATTATTTACAGACCGCTGCCATATAGCTGGAATATTGCTGAGTGCGGCGTGGAACTAAACTCACTCACTCGTTGTGATTGAGGCGTACGGAGTTGACTGGAATATCGTAGGTACCCTGTGCCACAGGTCATCACGTGCCAGTCTCCATATACTCCTGCATATGAAACAAACGTTACACCGACTTCCGTTTAGATCGGCGAATGAAGCTGTGGTCATCGTAGTCCGTGTGGTCTGACGGCAGCAGGTCACTGTGCAGAGTTGCCGCCCCTAGCCAGTCCAGGATATGCTGAATTCAAGATACTCGGTCTGTAACACTATATAGCTAGATGTTACATGGAAATATCGTGGATGGAACTATTGCCCAGCCAGATGAAAGTACCGTTTTAGATACTCTCTTTGCTTTAACTGCATTACTTATAAAGTGGCACAAAGCGGGTTTATTGTATTAATAGAGCTAATATGCCACTGACGTTTGAAATGGACGTAAGTCGTTTTACAAATCATTGAGCTAACGGGTTAAATTTTGAAATTGTCAGCCAAGACTAAAAACAGAGCGAGAAATAACGCTAGTGATATACTTGAAGCTGGTGAGTCACGGCCTTCAGTGGCAGGCAACGATGCCAAGAGCACAACATCACGACATTGGACACTTAATCGGTAACATGTCCGCATGTCCTCCAAGATCAAGGTCAAGTCTAATCACCCTTGCAGTCGATGTTCCCTACATCCGGGTCGTTCATCTTCGAAAACACACCCCAACAGTAGCGCCCATTCGCAGACTGTTCGCAACCCGCTACGAGCTGACGGAATCCGAAGGCACCACTTTAGCGTCATGTTACCTCTATGTAATTGAGTTCAGCGGCTTCAGCAGCGTCCCTTACAGAGGTTCTCCAACGTAGGAGAAATGTTTGGAGTAGTGACGAATTCCATTTTCGTCTTCAAATGAGAGATGAAGAAATCGTTACTGTTATTTTCAAGACAAAGAAAAGATCACAATATCCTGGGAAATAGGTATCGCTCTCGCACCTGGTGATATTCTACAGGATGGCAAAACAATCACCCGACCTGCTTATCGCTTTTAAACCCTCTTATACATCATACAACTCACTTCCTTTCTGGGGAAGAATGTATTTCCATTCACACCCGTACATGTACATAGCATCTTTACCTTAACGATTGTGTACCAAAATTAGCGTTCCTGGGACACTTAAAACTATCAGAAGGTTTTCTGATATGATTCGACAGGTTTTAAGCAATGGTTTTAATACAGTCAGGTGAAATAGTCCCACCTCTCAAATAAGGTCAAGCGAGGTCACCTGAAGAACAACAACAGTTCTCATGATGTAGACGGTATATGTAGAGAATATCCTAGGTAGAGGCGTTTCTGGCACCTAAATTACGTGCACTCGAATCTCACCCGCTACGGAGGACCTACCCCGGTAATTGACGAGTCAGCCCTCATTCTCCCTCGGCCATCAGAACGTGGTTCACTACATCACTGTAAGGACGTGTACTAAAAGGATTTGAACTACATGTAAACTAATTTACTCACTCACACGACTTGTACAGACTTGCCGGATTGTACAGATGACACGGTTACTTCTGACTAGAAGTGAAAACGTTTTGTCACTCTCATATACATTGTTGTATCACAATAAAACATGTCAACTCACCAGTTACATGTACAAGAATACCCATGCTGAACTAAGATTAATTGGATTAATTTGATTAATTGGTTGACAATACACATCCAGCCGAATCCTCGCCACGCGCCGGATTAGACAGCACTGATTACAGTATAAACCCATAGTCGGGCGGCTCATTTCATGCCGAGATCCGGAATTGACAGCTGCCGGATTGCAGAGCTTTTAAATGATGATAATTGCCCTAGCCACGGACGGGACTGAGATGTTATGCCGGTGTTGACAACTTGCCGGATAGGACTGTAAACTAATTTACTCACTCACACGACTTGTACCAGCTTGTTTCCTGGGCTTATGCATCTTGTTGAGAGAGCAACCCTAATTAACAGCAATATTCAGAGAAGTTTGTATCGACCCAAGTAAACTGTCGAGATATATTTACACCACGTGTATTTACATTCAACTCATTGTGTATGTACACACGGACTGATGTGGCACAGATTGGTTCAATGTTTATGCAGGTTGGTTAGAACCACGAGCTGCACAAACCACAGTGGAACAAATCTATCTCTTCTGCACATATATTTGTGTCTATGGCGAGTCAATTTCGCCACAGTCTTAGGGGAACACTTCTTTTCAGATACACGTTAAGTGTATTAAGTTACAAATCCCCAAAACGCAAATTTAGAATTGCATTTTTCCAAAACTTTACTGCCACATAAAACAGTTTTCCCCATACTTCATATTTTAGCGAGAGTGTTTCTTACTGCTTTACTCTCGCTGCCGTGTCCCTGTTGGGAGCTCAGGAAGGTCTGTGTGCTCACTCTTAAGTCACAATAACTGTAGTGAGTTACGGCTGGAAACTGTGTCACATAGAACACATGATCTTCCAATCGTGTTGATACGGGCTGTAAGGGTTGCTGGCTGGAATCTGTGTCGGTGATGTGCGGTTCGAATCTAAGAGGACTGGACGACATTCCCACGAACTGTCAAACCGAGACTCATTCGTACAATGGGGGTATGACATCAGAGACGCCCATTAACATAAACTACATACCCTTGTCGCCCTTCTTGTAATTGGTCCTTACAATAACTGCACCGCCAGTATGTTCCGTTGATTATCAGGCTACAAATGTAACATATGTTATATTTGGGATTACACTTTCTTAGTAAAGTATAGATTCTACTTCTTTTGGGTTAGGGGCGGTGGGGTAGTCTAGTGGTTAAAGCGTTGGCTCGTCACGCCGAAGACCCGGGTTCGAATCCCCACATGGGTACAATGAGTGAAGCCCATTTCTGGTGTCCCCCGCCGTTATATTGCTGGAATATTGCTAAAATCGGCGTAAAACCAAACTCAGTCAGTCAGTCAGACTTTTTGGGTTGAGTCCCATCCGGGATTCGAACCCAAACACTCCGAGTTCGAGTCCCGGATGTGACTCAACCCAAAGAGTACTAGAATCTGTACTTAAATAAGAAAGTGTAATCCCAAATATAACATATGTTACATTTGACCACTTTCTAAATGGCCTTGTGTAATCAGATTACACATAGTTCTTCCTTGTTCTCATCCAGTACTCACTCACTCTTTACCGTCTGTTACCATCACCTTATATTCCTATGTATTTCTATAATGGCCAGCCGTCTATAATCAGTGATAAGTGTAGTCATGTGGAAGAAATATCCAAGTAGTAGATTGGTATGCCGCCTTGGTGAAGCCAATACCCGATACTGACAACCCAGGATGTGTCACTAGGATGCTAAAACAATACTAGGGGATCTATCGGTTATAATATTGCCTAACATACATATATAATTATTACATTAAACTCGTATTTCATTGCATATTAAAGTCCAAAAAGTTCAACCAAAACCTTGAGTACAAACATTCATTGCAGATTACAGCTCCCCAGGTCAACCGGAACGGTATAAACATACATTCATCTGAATGGACACTCCACAGATTTAGTGCATACGGATCTACTAGAACCTCGAGTACAAGAATGAGAGTCAGTAAGTTCCAGGACAAAGAGAACACTGCTATACTGCACACCTCCCCTGCCATGTCATTGAAAGTATTTAACAAGCTTGACCTATTGTCCTTCATCTATCATCATCATGTTGAACTACAAGTGTCATCGAACTACATGCACCTAACGTTCTAACATGTAGGTGAACTAAGCTATCTAATAACACACATTACACGCAGACTTAGGTGACTATTTGCTTTATTGTGTTCACAAAGTCATTCTGCTGGATGCGCGACGACTACACCTGAATGCTGGATGCAGTTACTTTGGGGGATGATGGGACACCGCGTACAGACGGATGTTGAAGGGAGTCACGTGACGGTGATTGTGACGTCAACCGAGGTCTGCAGTCCGCCGCCGTCCTGTAACCAAATGTCAGCAAATATATGTCTGCTTCCAAGGATGATTGAATCATATGAACCTCACATACAAACATCTAACCTAAAGACACTGAAATAATATATTTTCCATCATAATCCCCTTCCACTTTGACGCACTTGTGCCAGCTATGTCAGGGGGACCTTATCTCAGTATCGCTGGAGTCTTTTACCCTCCGAAAGGTTCCCCACAGCTGCTATGATGTCATCTTTCAAGAGGGGAGAGGATTTCCAGCAAGAACTTTGTTAATATTGGGGATCAGATGGAAGCCTATAGGAGCCCAATCAGCAGAATAAGGTGGGTCCTATAGGAGGCCAAAGTCACATCGTGGACTGCATCCGTGGCAGTGACTCGTTCGTGCACCGGCGCCTTGCTGGAAGAGCACACTCCTTCTGAGCTCCCCATGCCACGTCTCTCATCCCGGAACTGTCTCAAAAGTGCATCTATGATAAGCTGGGTTTCTAAATTTAGATTTTCATTGCACTATATCTGTAAATATCTGTCGTTTAACATAACGGAATTTATGCTACCAATTTCGACTGTGGGGAAACTGAACATAAATTCTACATCTTGATTAGGTGTGAAGACTCAAATAAGTATGAAGGTATATTTAGGTATAAAATGATTCAAATATGATCAGTTCATGTATAAGTTATCCTTTATCCTGTGGTATCTGATATAAAACGCAATATGTTACATGTGGGATGACACATTCTTATATTTGTGGAGGATGAGGCCACACGGAGGAAAGTGCCTAATCGCTAGCATACACACTCATCATTTCTTTATGTTATAGAATAGAACTGTTTGTTAGTGTCTAGTTTTGCGGAAGATATTTCCCGCTGACGTCTTCCTCTGCATCCAAGACCACGGAGGCCATAACCTTTCCAATTGATAGGGCACCCTTTGCACCCTTTGTTCACCCATAATCGAACATGACTGCCATGAACCTCCCGGGTGGGCTTCAAACAGAGCTAGGTCATCACGTCTTGTGCTAGGTGTATGATCAGATATCAGAAACGTTAGACGCCCACGACCTTATAATTATCCATTGCCAAAGTATCTATGATAATGGAATGTACTCGCTACTGGGAAATGCCTCCTAAACAAGTCATATGACTTGACACACCTCTTGCCGTTCCGCCTTCACCGTATCGTGAGTCCATTTGGATCATTTGAGGTTAATTTTTAATCTATGTTTCAAAATGGCTACATTCTTGTTGACATCAATGTGAGGAAACTGGTATAGAAGCGTTATTTGGGGTAGAACGGTGTCGGGTATATTACCGAACAGCTAACACCATGACACATCTAATTCCTGTTGTGTTTCATTATATGAAGCAATAAGTAATATTCACAAAGAACCGTTCAGTGGGAATCATATTCACGCACAAAGGCAAGTAAATCCTGTCGACCAATTATTTTGCTAATAGATATTTCACATCGTCAAAATTTATTTTTTTACTCTTGCCGATTCGTCCGAACGTCCTTGTTCTATTCCGAACAGTCATGTCGGGCTATTCCAAACAGTCATGTCGGGCTATTCGTAAACGCCTAAAACCTTAGTTGTGGCCGAAGTGTCACTTTTTTCGACAGATTGTCGTTTGTTTTCAACGTGTACGTGAGTTTGATATACTCTTTCCGCGTCCCTGTTTGTGAAATATGCAAACCATGCAGTCCAAATTTTCACTTTCTCTTAAGTTAGCGCCCTAAAGTTCCTTCCCAGTTATGGAAGCATAAATAGTTGTAGGAGATCACTCCTGATATGAGTTATCTCCCTTTGTGACCCTGTTCTAATACGTCAACATGGCAGTGATGACTTGCAAAACATGAACATTTGAAGACAACTTTGTGTCAAAAGGATGGTACCCAGTGGTTATCAAGCATGACTTGAAGGTCAGTATAACAATATTTTCCAGTGTTGACACATCTTTCTATTTATTTTGACTGAAGATACTTTTTAAAATGGGACATCAATGAAATCTACTACATGAGACCACTTGCCTCCTTAGTGTCTAGATGCTGTTTTGACTTTTTAGATGCATTTGTGATTACCTGTGTCATTTAGTAGTAAATTGATTGACATTTTCATCGTATTTGACATGCTATTACATAAGTAGAATGTTACATGTCTGCTTAAATAACTGAGTGTTTAGTCTTAGTGCTTGTATGCCATAGGGGGCCCTTTTGGGGATAATATATACTTGATGTAATGTTAGGTGTTCTTAAAGCTATTCTGTTCATATTACATATCAAGTATATTTATTAAGTCCACAGCTCCGACAATATAGAATGTGTAATTTAAATCAGGAAACATGCTTTGGGTCATAACAATAGTGCCCTTAAAACATCCGCCCTAAAAGGGCCCCTAACATGTTATAATGCAGTCATACTTTCATTGCAACAAACAATAACAGTGTTTTCTTAAAAATATCTAACTTTTGCAAATTGGTTTATGGTTTAATTTACTTAGATGTTGTTCGTGTATCCTTTAGGGATTAGTTTATAAATTTTCTGTTTTTTTGTACTGATTGTGATTTATTTGTTACAGAATTCTTCGTATTTTCCAACAAGACTTTTGACTCGCAATTGATTATATAACGTAGTGACTTGACTATAAGTGCATCATATTATTTTATGAATTATGCATTTTTTTAAAAGAAGTTTGCCATATGATTATTTTAGAATAACTAATTCATTTTGGTTTAAATATATATATATAGTTCAGAAGATGACACAGTTACCTCCTACAATGGAGACATGAAAGGATCTAAGTCAGTGCTTCATTAACCGACTGATGAGCCTTACAAGAGAATTCAGTGAAGTCAGTCTTGTGTTTGATACCTAAAAACCTGCCTCACTTAAATGGTCAACAAGAGAAAAAAGACGTCATGGCAAGGATCCAGTCCAGTACCAAATAACTGATGAAACAAGAATCAATTAAAGCGATTCATCACATTAGAGCGATTCTTATCTCATGGAGTACAGCAAGGATTCATCAAACCAAGGAAGACAACAATGAAGAGGCTGACACACTCATGATCCACCAAGCCATCTGTGCATCTCAATGAAACTCTGAACTTGTTTTCCTCTCTTCAGATACTGACGTCCTCGTGCTAATCATAGGAAATTATGATCGCCTGCGAGGAAAGACATCTATCTCCACGGCATCAGGTGAAGTACAAATACAGCCTATATGGAAATCACTTGGGGTTGAAAAAGCGAAAGATCTGCCAGCCTTCCATTGCTTTTCTGGATCTGATAATACAGGTAGAGTCTTGAGTTGGGGAGACAACTTGGTTCAAGAAGTTCCTAGGAGCCAGCGAAGACACTGTTAAAGCTTTACTGTTGCTGTCTTGTAGAGAAGATCTTGATGAAGAAACAGTTTTAACATTAGATATATTTGTATGTACTGTGTATTGTCCAAAAGCAATCACCTTGAATGAATGGTATCTCAGATGGTATCTCTTTTGCAAGTACATGGTGACAGGTTCCTTCCAACACTTGGTGCCTTGAGACAGCACATTGACAGAGTTTAGATGAATCATGGGTATGGGCTCAAGTTCATGTTGCCAAACAAGTCTTCTTGGACCCAATGAGTTATGGGTTTCATAAGGATAAAGATGCTAAGCTTGGGCCAGTCACCACAGATGTTCTTCCAGCTCCCCAGACTATTCTTGAGATGGTGCGATGCCAGTGCAAGACAGATTGTTCAACTAAACTATGTACATAAAAATCAAAAGACTTACCATGTACTGAATGGTAATCAATGTGAGAATGACGAGTCTCAAACAGTTCCTGATGATAATTTTGATGTACTGATATATATATTATGAGTGTGAATGGTTGTGGAAAGTACTCTCCTTTCGGTGATATTGCAGATATTTACTTTCATCATTAATTACAGCTTATCTATAGGAGAATAATGAAATATCTTAAATGGAAATCATGGTGATATCAATGAAATGCTGTAAAGAGTGTTGTGTATCATCATATGTAGTGCTTGTGATGGCTGAAGATTGAAACATCTGAGGATAGACATTAACCTATAAATTCTGTGACATTGTGGACATTCATCTTCAACCATTTGTTTCGTCACTTACACCACTGATCAACACGTTAGTAGTATAATTCATTCATTAATAGCTAATGTGGTTATCATAACATTCATAATATTCTTGTTTTCCACACAGAGCAAAACCAGTATGACAATATATAAGTGTCCGGAGTTCAGTGTATACTTATTTATAATACATAGCTGATATAAAACATATGATGTCTCAATCTGGTACATTTTCCCTTCATGTATTCACAGTAACTGTGTCTTAGGTACTTTGGTGTATACAAGTAATCCTTAACAGCATATATTTTTCAAATATATAGTGAAACTAGAAACAGAATAGCATTTAAAGGTGAAAAAAGGGTGGCACGTTATTGAATATGGCGGCCATTTTGAAATCCAAGATGGCCGCCAATGGGATGAAGGGAAAAATTTGAAACAGTGCTTTTTATGTTAAGTGTAGTGAGTGGTTTCAGAATATGCATGCTGTTGCTAATCTCCAATTTCTTTGAACGAAAATACATAATGCAATGGACTGATACGTTTTAAAGTCATTCTTACAAGAATAAATGATAAATATATTTCATGATTTACTATTTACCGGCTGATTTACTATCGACTCATCGACAAAATTTGTCAACTTTTCGAAAGATAAAGACATACATTGGTGCAAAATTATTAAAATTTTCAGTAACACTTAAGGTAAGCCTGTTCACGATTCGTTTATTTGGGTATAAAAGATTAGCAACACTTTCCTGATCACCCATGTTCTGCACAAATTGCAGATTTGCAGTACTTATTACATATTGAATCACATATTGTGGCATGTATGTATTTTCTTTTGGGGGGGCGAGGGAGTTACCATCCATGGAATTACATATTTCAAGTTGGACCGTCGTGATAATAAGCGAACTGTGGTCGTTTAAACATATTTTATTCACGGTCTAATAGAACCATGCAAACACGATTATAAACGACTAACAGACATTTGGCACTTTGAGTATCGACTAACACTGACTTATGTAACTGAAATGTGAGTAATTAGATAATATCATTACCGTATCTAATACATGACGTGCAAGGTTCGGCGGTCAGCAGTGCAAAAATGTATACTTGTGAGGAGAAATAGCCACATAATCATAAACAAAGAAAAGTATTATCCTAAAACATATATTTGTGTGTTATGAAATATTCTTTAAATTTCATTAACGTTATTTTGATGCCAAACAGGTGCGCGTGTTGTCCACATTAAGGTACACAGTCAAACCGGCTAATTGTTTATCGTTTATTGTTGTGGAGATAACTCACAACCCTAACTACGGACATATTGGGTCTCCGGTACTGAAGATTTCAACCTTAGTTAAGGTTTCAGTTAAGTATCCTTTTTGTTGAGGTTACCTTAAGGTTAACCTCAGACAATAAGTTCAACCTTAGTTATGGTTGTGTTGTACAAAGGCACCCTTACGTATCAACATAATAATCATATACAGGGGACAACAAATAGTGAACATGAAAAACAGCGATTCACTGCAAATCTCGAGTGAACTCAAATAGAATAGAATAGAATAGAATAATACTTTAATGCCTTTTCAGGAATTTGTGTTATATCAGCAGAGCTACTGACACATCAGATAGATACCAAACATATTTACATAAATTCTTTGATTTAGGTATCTTCACATTTGTTTAAGAGAGATATGGTACTTGGAATAAAGGATGTATGGGCTCTCTTAGTTTTCACAATTGGAACTTTGTAGCGGCGGCCTGAAGGGAGGAGGTTGTATTCCGAATTAAGTAGTGAGTACGGTCAGATATGATTTTGACATCTTGATTCACGATTTGCCGCTCATATATTGATGATAAACATTCAAATCTGATTCCAGCGATTTTACTTGCAGTGTTAACAATTTTGTCTATTTTAGATTTGAGATGAACTGAGAGAGACCCGTACCAACAATGGAAGGAAAATGTTAAAATACTCTGAATAAATGCTACATAAAAAGATGCCATCACAGATGGGTATACATTAAAAGATCTCAGTTTACGCATGAGATGAAGACGTTGTTGACACTTTTTGTATAGGGCTTCAGTGTTAGAGTTCCAGTTCACCTTAGAGTCAATGAAGGTTCCCAGATACTTATACTCCGACACTGTCTCAACACATTCACTGTTGATTATCACTGGAAGCATTTCTGTGGCTTTACTCCGAAAGTCAATTATCAGTTCCTTTGTTTTTGTGACATTTAAGATTATCATGTAAAGTTGTTTTCTGCACACCAAGTCGTAAAATGATTAATGTCCTCTTTAATGAACCTTCTAAACAGTTCATGTGTATACGTCAGTTGCATACACCGTTATGGTTAGGCATACACCGTTATGGTTAGAAATCACAACTCAATACAAACGTCATTGTTGCTGTTATGTTAAATACAGTCTGACATACCAACTGCTCGTGGCTCTGATTCACAAACAGATCGTATATAGTTACCTTTATGTGTGACAGCTTCAGTGGCCCCTGGGTTGTTTGGCAGTAAGCTGATACACCAGACATCAGCAGTCGTACTTTCATATATGTATTCTATTAATGTATCAAACAGCACATCAAGCCCTCGATCGCTTCCTCCTCTGAGTACTTTCAGGTCACAAACCATGTCTCACATTCGTCCACCTGTATACCATTCGCCATCATCCAACAACATGCACGGCGCATACATAACGGCAATAATGGTGAACGCGACGTCGAATCTCTCATCTCCACGCCTAGTCTATTTAAACAGTGTGATTATATTGCCGTTTAGGAAGAGATCCTGGCCACACGACCATAAACACACACACTACCACACCCAGTCTCACCCACGAATCTCACCCTGACGATGGCACGATCTGCATATATACTCACTGTCGCAATGACCTTCATGTGAAGATCGCGTCCTTTCTGGGTGACTAATGGCATTTTGACAGCTATCAGACCGGTGTAGAGATTCACATCGAAGGCTTGAAAGGCAAACAGGTCCTTGGTCTGTCAATGCAAATGTACTGATATAAAATAACCACCTTACGTGCACAACTACACACAGCCTTAAAACATGAATGCGTAGTGCCGGGAATGTCTAAACCTGTAATGTGTGGAACCGCAAAAGTTTCAGTGCAAAATGTAAGGTCTGACTCACTCAGGGAATATACAGAATCACGACCATTATCTGGTGTCCTTCGTGTTCCCTGATCCAAGAACAAGTGATTCCTGAAACTACTCAGACACGTCTCTAGTTAGTTTGTCTGACATTATTTACCATATTTCTTGTTGTTAGCTTGTAACAGGTATAGAAATGTAACAACTTGCATTTCGATTATAAAGGTTATGTAACAATAACCAATACTATAAGCATCAATATAACACTTAGTAATGTTAACGGGACTTTTTCAAGAATGGAGGATGTGTTTCAATCTTTCTTTTCAAACAGCAAATCAACGTTCCATCTGTTGTGACATACTTTTCACATTAGGAAACTGCTGACAGTGTATGTTCTCTCATATTTCCAGGAGGGATTTGTGGAGAACCTCCGAAAGAAACTACATAAGAGCTTGGAGGCGAACAGACGAGTCGTGACAGCTAAAGAAACGTACAGCAAAGTATGAGCGAGATACCAGAGACCTCATGCTGCTACTGCTATGGCGTCCTCTGGCCAGGACTATCTTGCAACGACTTATCAGAAAACTCCAACAAGAACACAAAGCTCCAGTTTACATTGTCATGAGTCAAGAGACGTGTGAGGTCCCCATCACGTGGCAGTTGTGAAAACTGGTGTGAATGCCAAGCGGAGATGGGAAGGCCAAGCAAACACTTTCGGGTATTTTATGACTGCTTCAGTAAATATTCTCAGCGTGTACAATTAAGTGTAGAAACAATTGTGTTTAATATCAGATCTTTTTATAGCTAGTGTCAAGACGGCAAACCCCACCGCCCATTGTTCCTAAAAATTGTCGGTCACGGGTTTGTGTGGGCCTCGTCTATTCAAAGGCCGGCGTGGTATAACTTGCACATTGCTGACTTCAGCTACACCATTCACTTACTCAAATAAGCACAGGCGGAAGACATGGTATCTTTTCATTTTCCTACAAAGGATTGGAGAATTTGCTTACGACAACAGTGTATTGTACGGTGCCGCCGTACGCCATGTCTGGATCCACTGCCGTTGCAATAAGGACGACGGTGCCTACAGGTACGGTCTGCAACAACAACGACATCATCGTTACTATCTACCACACAGCTGTGTATCAGGAGTGTCTGTCATATACAGTACAACCAGAAATTATTGAGAATTTAAAGATTGTAATTTTATTATTTTTGAAAATTTCACTCATTACTCACGTATTAAATGTGAATATTAGCAGAACATAACTCCAGACTCAAAGACAGGTGAACAGTAAGTATTTTGTCAAGTCACCATGGGCAGCAATGCAGGCTTCAATGCGGCGGAGCATACTACTGATCAAAGAAGTTAGAAAGTCGTGGTCCATGCTGTCCCAATATCGGACCACCTCTTCTTTCATTAGATTTTTCTTATTGACACTTTCCTTCATAAGTCCCCTAACATTTCTTATTGGATTTAGGTCAGGGCTATAGCTTGGCCAATCTAATAATGTCATATTTTGGGTCCGAAACCAGGCCTGTGAATGCTTTGAACGATGTTTTGGGTCCTTGTCCTGCTGGAAAATCCAAACATTTCCATAGAACACGTGAGCAGATGGAAGTAAATGTCCCTCGAGAATATCTGTGTACCGCTCACTGTTCATATTCCCTTCAAATACACAGAGGGGCGTTGCCCCTAACACAGATATGCCACCCCACACGTTAAATTGCGGACTGTACTTTGGGCGCTGATACAAAGGTATTTCAGTTTGTTTGGTCCAGAATTTCAGTGTATTAGGAAACAGCTACACAGAACTTTCATCTGAGAAAATCACATTGTCCCAGTTAAAATTTCTATGATGTAAGCACCAGTTCAACCTTTGCTCCTTTTGTTCAGGTTTCATGATCGGTGATGGAATTCCTCGACTTTTCTGCCAACCCATTGCATGCAGCTCAGTTCTAATTGTCCCCTTACAGACAGCCACAGTTCCTCTATCAATCATATCCAGCATTAAGTTTTCTAAACTCCTTCGTTTGTTTTTAGAAACAAGAATACCAAGCCGCCTCTGTCACCGACAGTCCATTTTCTGGGCCTACCTGCGCCTCCCTATTCCTAAACATATTCCTAAAATTCTCAATAATTTCTGGTCATACTATAGTTGTTGCAATAGAAGTGTTGGGATTACCGCCGCTTGGAGCAGTATGCCAGTTGTGTCACCACTATCAGGAAAATGTGAGAATGCCAGGCCCAGATATTTACCTCTCAAACTTATGGTGCCGACAAACCTAGAAACATAATCGGGGTCAACCGGGATTCGAACCCACAATACAAATATTCTCATATCATAAGAGATGCAACTCTGCACTGCAGAGTTCGGGGTCTTAGGCGAGTACAGTAGTCGTAATAGTAGTAGTAGTAATAGTAGTACTAGTAGTAGTTCCTTGTCTAATGTATCACTCCACCTACCGAGGCTATCTTGGCACTGTACGACGTCTGCGTGAACTGAGGAGCGTTGTCGTTGACATCATCGATGTTGAGTGTGACTGTCACTGTGGTCTGTGGAAAAAAACATCCTCATGAAGGCAGGGCCATATACAAGGAAAAGTCCAGTTTGTTTTACTCTTCAATACAATCTTGTATTTAGCGTTGTGATGTTCAGCCAAACTATACTGAGTCAAACAAGAAACTTCACATTCTTTCTTCAGGGCACTATAAAAGAACAAGAGATGGTAAGATGGTTAAATTGTTATTACATGTATTTCATTGCTGAGATCTGTGTGATGTACTCGATACACTGACAGTGCCATAATCAGTTCCATTAGGCTACACCGCCGTTCCAAAACATGTGTATACAGAATGTCAAGTCACAAGAATAAAAATTCGAAATTTCTCAGTTCAATATCGTGTATGGCCGCCCCGCGCATTCACCACTGCCAAACACCGTCTCCTCATCGACTGCCTGATGCTTGTGAACACGTGGTTGGGGATTCTGCGCCATTGCCCTTGCAAGGCAGCGCCAAGTTCCTGCAAATTCTGAGGTTGGTTCCTAAGACCACGAAGCCTTCTCCCAAGTGCATCCCAAACGTGCTCTATTGGATTAAGGTCAGGGGACCTCGATGGCCAGTCCATGACGTTGATTCCAGCGTTTGGAAGGAAATTTCGTGTCAACATCGCGGTATGCGGCCGAGCATTATCATGCTGGAACTGTAGACCTGGGCCATGAGCCGCCATGAAAGGCACGAGTTCAGGGGTGAGCACCTGGTCGCGGTAAGCAGCAGCTGTGAGGTTTCCACGGATGACCAGAAGTCGGGAACGGTTGTTCCCACAGAAAGCATCCCACACCATGCAACTTCTGCCCCCGAATCTGTCGACTTCCTGTACAAAACATTGGGCATACCGTTCACGACGTCGTCTCCAGACTCTATGCCTGCCGTCCGCGAATCTGAGGGTAAACCTGGATTCATCGCTAAAGACGACTCGATTCCAGTCTCTCTGGGTCCATCGGAGGTGACGTTGGGCCCACAGCAGACGTTGACGTTGCTGAAACGGCGTCAATATTGGCCCACGATATGGACGTCGAGAATGGAGATTGGCAGCCCGCAACCGTCGACCTCTAAACATCTCAGCCCTGGTTCGTGTAGCCGGCAGAAATCTGTCACGTAGGTGACGTAGGACGATTTGACGGTCTTCTGCTCGTGACGTCACACGTGGACGACCCGACCTTGGGCGATCAGAAGTGGTGCCAGTTTGTTATAGACGACCTCGCAAGTCATACACAGTACGACGGCTGCATCCCATTGCTCTTGCGACGTCAATAACTGATCTTCCCGCTTGCAACATGCCAACGGCACGGCACGTTCACGTTGCACATTTGACAATCGTGGCATTTCAAGTACCGTTAGAACTGTCGTTTAAAAGTGTTTTTTCAATTCTTGAGGCCAATGCAAACACGTGCATATGAAGAAAACTTCGATGCGAAGATCACGTGATCGACTGCACGTGCAAAACCTGATTTGTCACTAACGTCATTTGCACGACGAATAGATGGGTTTGAGTGGGTTTTGCTAACGTTTTTCTAGAGTCGAAAGATAGGGATCCCATTTCGAATACATAGATGTATCATCAGAGAAAAATTATTCATTATTTTTCAAATTACATTTTGTGAAGTTTCTTTTTTTGACTCAGTATATAACACGTACCGTAGTTTCTCCATCCGTTGCCTCGAATACCAGTTTCCGTGATGAGGGTTCCTGTTATAACATACCAGTGGGTGGGAGTTAACAGTCTGACACCATATAGGAAACAAGAGCAGAGGAAACATCGCTTGTGGCATTTCATTCGAGACGGAAAAGAAAACGATGACATGAAAAGATTTTATGAACGCTTCGTCCATTTTAACCATTTCGTCACTGGAGGCCTTCAGACCATCCTCCATATTTCCAGGGCTCGTATTTTGGTAGGCCCAAATTATCCCCTAGATCGATTCCCTTGGTTCTAGCAATTCCCTTGGTTCTAGCAATCACGCCTCATCTCATTTAGACGCACAACGACTTCTCGGATTACTAGGATGAAAAACAACCTACGTAGTCCCTGTCGAGTGTGGTGTTTAGGATGATGTCGGCGGTGCTGCTATGGATCGGCACGTCGGTCATCATCGGGCCCAGCATCACTAGCTCCGCAGTAGCATCGTCGGTGATGTTCAATACCAGGTTCTCGGGTCCATCCGGGTCTACCGCTGTCAGCTTCCCTATGACAGTGCCTGACGAAACATGCACAGTGAAACAGTGTCTCCTATATCTATATGTACCGTTATATTGTTCATGTTACCTTCATACCATACATTCTTCCCTGTACATACATGCCCCGACATACATGTATTGGTATTGATAAAAACCTTCTAGAACAATACTACGGTGAATCTTTGGAAAAAAGCCTGTCTTCGTCAGGCATTACATTTCGGATATAATTATGTATTTGATAATATACTAGGCACATAAAGAAACTGTGCATACAAAAATTTAAAATCTAAATTTATCAAACCTGTGTAGACACATAAGGATTCAAACTCAGAGATTAGTGACATGTATCCATCATGCATGCACGTGCCACGTTCCGTGACGTCAGTGGGTTCGTCCTTGAGACGTGCAATACGTTGTTGCACGTGCATTCCGGGAAAGAGAAACAGAGCAAATGAATGCCACACAATACTGTCACTTTGGAAAGCTCAACCCCTGCCCTTGCGATCGTTCAAAAAATTAAACGACTATTGAAACGCATAGCATGCCAAGGCTCACGTCTGCACAACGTCATGAGGCCATTGGGATGGTCCGTGGGGAATGTCTCAACGACAAGTGGCTGCACATTTCCACTGCCACCGGAACACCATTTCTGCACTGGTGAGACGCTACCAGAACACAAATGACGTCATCGATCAGCCACGTTCTGGACGTCCACGTATAACAACGCCAAGACAGGACATATGGATAAGGGTGACCCATCTTCGCCACAGGTTTCAGACTGCAGTGATGACTGCCCGAACCATCCCAGGACTTCGCCGTATCCACCCCAACACAGTTCGACAACGTTTACGTCATCACGGGATCAGACCACGACGTCCCGCCATACGGCCTATCCTGACACAACGTCATCGACAAGCTCGCCGAATGTGATGCCGAAATCATGTCCGCAGACCCTTGTTTTGGTGGAGAAATGTTGTTTTTACAGATGAGTCCAAGTTTAACATTTCCCATAGTGATTTCCCCATTTCCCAAGTCAACGTGCCTATAGACGCGTGGGAGAACGTTATGCACAGGCCTGTGTCTTGGAGAGGAATCGCTGTGGTGGTGGTTCCGTGATGATTTGGGGTGCAATAACAGCACGCCAAAGAACTCCTTTGGTGATTGTTCGGGGCAACCTAACTGGTGTGGGCTACAGGGATCAGATTCTTCGACCTGTGGCAATTCCTTTTCTGCAACGTCATGGCCCTGGGTTAACCTTCCAACAGGACAATGCCCGCCCTCATACGGCAAGGGTTGTTATGGATTTCTTGCAACACCACAACGTTGACTGACTGCCTTGGCCTGCAAATTCACTGGATCTCTCCCCGATAGAGCATGTTTGGGACGAGATTGATCGACGTCTACGCCGTCTTCCTCATCCGCCAGATAACGTCCTTGACCTTGCAACAGAACTTGAGAGAATCTGGCGTGACATCCCACAAGTCTTCCTTGCACGTTTGATAGGCTCTATGCGTCGTCGATGCACTGCTGTTCTCAATGCCGATGGTGGACATACCCGTTATTGAGCTTGTGACATGGTCGTTTGACCCCTGTCCCGCGTGTGGACTCGTGACGTCATTATGATTGACTTTTCAATTGAAATTCTCCCGATTTGTTATGGTCTCATGATCCCTCCATTAAAGTTTATATGTACCTTAGACATTGTTATCGTACTTATCAACTGGGATAATATTTTGACAATGCACAGTTTCTTTATGTGGCTAGTATATATGATTTACTCTAAGGAATACAATTTTCAAATGGTAATGTACGACATCTTATCTCCGTCCTTCTGATTAGTCTGTCACCGCTAGAGTTTGGACTAACAGGTGCGATACGTCAATGGCATCAGTTAGTCGCCCGTTACTCGGTTATCTTGATGAGGAAATACATATATGGGAAGTGTGCTGACTGGGAATCTCTTTTGTACCCCACCAAGCAATGTCCAAGCCATACCACGGCGAACTACAGAGAAACCGCCAGAAACTGTTTTATGGGGAAAGCAACGAACACCTCGACCAACGACCTTGTGTGATTTAAACACTGTTATGACAGAATCAGGTACGGGTAACAATTGCCATGGCAACATTTTAAATCCACTCACCAATCTTGGTGTCCTCACGCACTATGAGGAATCTTCGACTGCGGAAGACCGGAGCGTTGTTGCAGATCGCTGGGTAGACGTGGAAACAAATGGAGTTGTTAATGCAGACATTTTACTGACAATCAATTGACTAAAAACAAGCTTGGTACGCCATAGCTTGATTGGTACGCCATTGCTTGCAATCAACTGTTTACAAGAAACATAGAAATAGGAATGAGATCATCCTGTCAGTTGACAGGCTGTATAATGTACAGCTACAGAAAGAAACTTGCTGACGCTGTCAGTTGGCTCTTCATCATATACACATCAGCATTGATTAAGCACCACCTGAATCCAAGGGCACTTTTCAAATTATTGGTCCAAACAGGGTATAAATTTCATAATTCCAGTATGTGCACTACATTTGTCTGAACTGGTTTGAAATACGACAGTAATATATACAAACAGGGCAAGACGTAGACGTTCAAGAAATGAACGCTGACAAGTTAAGATTGACATGCATGACACAGGGATGGTCTGTCGCAGCATCGCGGCTGACATTAACCTCTTGGTTATTAGTCGACTTGTGACGAAGCACGTGGCCATTGGTGAAGTAAAGGATCGTCCATTACGAGGAAGACCAATGACCGTACTGACCGAATCCTAATTCGTAGGGCAATAGAGAGTGGGAGTCTCCACCAGTATCATCAGAAGGAGGCTGTCGTCTGCTGGCGGGGTGCAGGCTCCGAGAAAACTCGCAACTTGAGGACATGGCGTAGGTGCCCCTGGTCTTATGAAAGTGTCTATCTTCACCACTTTACCTACGGCCACTGTCGCGTCTGGAGACGTCATAACGTGGCACACCAAGAGATTATCCATGTAGTTGAAACCTTTGGTGGCCTTTTCGTGATGCTGTACGGTTGCGTTTCTTATGACTGCAAGCTGTATCTGACTGCAGTATCTGGGGCACTCGGTGCTCAGTGCCACGTACAGAAAGTGCTGAATGTTCATGGATGACAACGCTAGACCTCACCGTTCTCGAGCCGTAATCGCCCATTTGCAGAAAACTCCACTGACGCATTACCGTGGCCCGCATGGAGAACCGATATGAACCCCATCAAACATGTTTAGGACCATCCTGGACGCCATGTTCGAGTTGGATGTCTTCCTGTATAAAATCTGCAGGAACTGACGCAGGCAATCCATGAGGAATGGCAGAGGTTACCGATGGTGAGAATTAGACGCTTGATTGCCAGTATGAGGAGGCGACTGGCCGATGTCTACTGTGCCAGGGATGACTACACAAGGTACCCATGTTGCCACCAGTGGTGCTTCACACAATCAGAGTGGTCATAGTCATGGTGACCAGAATTTTCGGCATTGGTGATATTTTCGGTTTTGTTTATTTCTCTCAGCTTTCTAGTAAATTGTTACCAAATTTCAATTTCATTCTGTTTTATTCAGAGTAAATTATGTCACAATCACCATTTTATAGTTTGGTTTTCAAAGCATATACAACATGTCGTGTATTTGTACTTATATCAGAAGTGTGGTACTTGAATAATGTTGATGAGTATATATCAGTCTCGAAATCATCGACCCGTGAAGATCCGGGGTAGAGTAGGTCTTCAGCAACCCATGCTTGCCACAAAAGGCGACTATGAGTGTCGTAAGAGGCGACTAACGGGATCGGGTGGTCAGGCTCGCTGACTTGGTTGGCACATGCCATCGGTTCCCAGTTGCGCAGATCGATGCTCATGCTGTTGATCACTGGATTGTCTGGTCCAGACTCAATTATTTATACAACACCGCCATATAGCTGGAATATTGCTGAGTGCGGCGTAAAACTAAACTCACTCACTCACTTGCACACACAAAATCATCAAAGCTTAAAATATAAAGGACTAACGTTTGTCCAGCAGCATGGCGGACACCAAACCTTCCCATACAACTACGATTTACGGCGTTTTTGCTGTGGGAAATTACACATCTGTTTCGGAGATGGATTTAGTTATTGTGTGCTCAACTCAAGTAAAACAGGTGATTATATATACAAATAACTTCACAAACATAGAAAGCAAACAGTTGAACAAGGACAAAAGTTCGTATGCTTTCCGGTAGATAAAATCAGCATGCTTACATAAATTCTGTGTTGTGCCAAAATAGATTAAGCTATTGATTGTTAGATAATTTCCATACTAAATTGAATTTATTATCAGATTTGGCTGGCGGTCATTGATCCTGGCTCGGCAACGGAAGATACAACAACATCAAACGCCGAAGAAAGGCCTTCCGTCCACATAAATATATACAGGTCGGGTAATAATTCATACAAAACCCTACACTTATGAGAAAATGCACTGCTTTAAATTTAGCGGCAGCCTAACACAATCATAGCATCTGAACAATTCACTTGAAACGCTACTGAATTTAGCCCAACATTATATTTTAAGAATAATTTCGTAAAAAAATTATATGGCCTAGCTAGAACTAAAGTATTGAAGTATATAAACGTGTTAATGATTGGTGATTAGTTCACACATGTTTCCAATAAATACCAACGAGGCGACTGAAATGTCGAAGCCAGCAACGGCAAACATCCATTAACTAGGGGTGAGTGAGTGAGTTACATTTTACGCCACTTTTAGCAATATTCCAGCAATATCACGCCGGGGGACTCCAGAAATGTCCTTCACACATTGTACCCACATGGAGATCGAATCCGGGTCTTCTGTTTGATGACAGAATGCTTTAACCATTAAGCTAAACCACCCCTCCATTTGATTCAGTTTTCGATGTGAGCCCCAAATACATCCAAGGTGCTAAGATCTTTTAAACGAGTGGAAATGAATTATGTGTGCATTATGTGAACCTACTATCTATAGATTTATTAACGTCAATCATGAACAAATGTGTCAATAAAAGAAGGAGACATCGCATTGGCCTATTGAGCTATCCATACCATAGAAAAGTCAATAAGATGCAATAACTTTACGACATAGTAAAACAGTTAGGTCTAAATTGCAATCACTGCTCCTACCTAATAAGTAGTAATTCCTTCTGATTCAGAATGGCTGAGCGAAAATGGAAATTTCACTGACTTTGAGTCACTTTCAGTTGAAGAACTGAACGGAGCGTCTACGCCACCTTTATACAGAAGTCCGCGCTACAGATGGCCACTTTTATACAGAAGTCCGCGCTACAGATGGCCACTTTTATGCAGAAGTCCGCGATACAGATGGCCACTTTTATACGGAAGTCCGCACTACAGATGGCCACCTTTATGCGGAAGTCCGCACTACAGATGGCCACTTTTATGCGGAATTCCGCGTTACAGATGGCCACTCTTATGCGGAAGTTCGCACTACAGATGGCAACTTTTATGCGGAAGTACGCTCTACAGATGGACACCTTTATGCAGAAGTACGCGCTACAAATGGCCCCTTTTATGCGGAAGTCCGCGCCACAGATGGCCAATTTTATGCGGATTTCCACGCTACAGATGGCCACTTTTATGCTGAGGTCCGCGCTACAGAAGGCCACCTTTGTGCGGTAGTCCGCACCACAGATGGCAACTTGTATGCGGAAGTTCGCACGACAGATGGTCAGTTTTATGCGGAAGTCCGCGCCACAGATGACCACTTTTATGATGAAGTCCGCGCTACAGATGGCCACTTTTATGCGGAAGTCCGCGCTACAGATGGCCACTTTTATGCGGAAGTCCGCGCCACAGATGGCCACTTTTATGCGGAAGTCCGCGCCACAGATGACCACTTTTATGCTGAAGTCCGCGCTACAGATGGCCACTTTTATGCGGAAGTCCGCACTTCAGATGGACACTTTTATTCCAAAACAACCTTTGATGGTTTGAGAGCTGCGATACATCGTCACATTCCTGCTGCACCGTATGAGTAGAACATTAACATATATGTTTCATAGTCAACAAAGTGTTGGAGCTTTTATACATCCATTTTACTTCCTCTAATGTGGATATACAATAGTCAATTAAAAGTTTATTCAAATGGTTTGATTTCCAATTAAATGCGAAATCATATTTGAAGAGTCTTGCAGCATTGCTGACGTCATAATTGTAATGACGATACATATTTCTAACTAGTCTGTCATACAGACCCTTAAACAAATATATTCCAAAAAGCCCATGCAAGTCTAGAATATGTGGCAAGTCTAGATTTCCACAGTTTCAGGATGAAGAAAGTCTCCTTTTCATTATACTGTATTTTTCTTTATTATGTCCTGTTTTTTCTGTAAAATATGTTCATTTCCGAGACTAGTTGTTAGTCTATTATCTAACCACAGGGGCTTGTAACGCTAAAAACTGACATCAAGGTATAGTGCTTCGAACCCGTTAGAAACAGTATATACCTTGACGGCGTTTTTAGCGTTACAAACCCCTGTGTATCTAACAATATATTACAATCATAATTATTTGTTAAAGACAACATGCATGATGTGACCCTACACTCAAAATGATGTCAGTGTCGCAACATTCACAGATTTAGTACATTTGGTCATTATATTTCAACAGATTACCACCAAGGAACACTGCACAAAGTGTAGCCTCCTAAAACTTACCTAGAGCAAAGATAAGACAGATGAGCAGGGAAACCAACAACAGCTTCATGTCCACTGAATCTGTGAGCGCGAGCTCGCTACCAAACAGGGACAAACCGATGTGGAGTGGAAGTGGAGATGTTTTCAATGTACACGAGAGATATATATACAGACTGCGCCGGGTGTATCCGACAGTGTACTTTTCTTACTAAATTGGTTGAGAGACGATGCGAGATTAGATCATTCCTGTTCCAGGTTTGGTTGTTGTTTACAGAGAGATTTCTGATGTCATGACACACCTATCCTCAGTGTGAACGGGTCCCTGCTTATTAACACATATCTGGCGGCGGGGGTTCCAGAGACACTTCCACTAGGGCGTCAAGCGTGTGGCGATGACACGTATCTAAGTACAAAGAGGTGACACTATCTATTTACATACAAAGATTTAAAGTTGCATGCCCTGCAAAAATATCTCCACACGGACGCAATGTGAATCCTGTGAATGAACTAAACAATTAGTTAAGATTAAATAAACTGAGGGGCAAAAGAAACGTCCCCAAAGTAAAATTGTAAAAAACATTTCTTCTGTTTTCGTTATGACGGAAATTTATTTAGGAACACATCTCCCGAACGCATCCCCACGTCTCACAGAAAGGAAATCCACGTGGAGTTTTTTGTAAGCATGAAAATTGCTTTTATTCACGTTTTTTGCATGCTTCTGTGGAAACATACCCGTATGAAAGTACAGTATAAAAATTATGCTCGACTGTTCGAATTCATCACTTCCATACGTTGGACACAAAGAACATACCTCGACTCACGGCAGAACAGAGAGAAAGAGCTATTGGGATGTTGCAGCTGGGTGCTTCTCACAGTCACGTTGCAAGAATCATGGGTTGCAGCAAGAAAACCATCACCAGACTGATGACACGCTTCAGAACAACAGGTCGGACTGCAGACAGGCCTGGGACAGGGAGACCACCCGTAACCACCCCTCAGGAAGACCGCCATTTACGGGTGCTTCACTTGCGCAACAGATTCCTGACTGTGACGTCATCAGCAACAACCAGCCTTACCCATCCAGTCAGTAGAAGGACCATATCCAGACGACTCCGCCGATTCGGTATCAGAGCCTACAGACCATTCCGGCGCGTGACGTTAACGCGTGAACATCGACGTCGTCGATTGGCTTGGGCACGTATAGTTCGGCAGTGGCAGCCGCGGAACTGGCGCCGGGTACTCTTCAGTGACGAGAGCCGCTTCCAGTTGAATAAAGCTGATGGTCGGGTACGAGTCTACAGACGTCGGAACGAACGCACAGCACGTTGTTGCGTTCAGGAAGTTGAGACGTTTGGCGGCGGTAGTGTGATGGTGTGGGGGAGAATTTGTGGCGAGAGGAAGACTGACTTGTTGGTGATAGAGGGAAACCTGAATGCCCGTCGATACATTGATGTTGTTTTACGACCTGTCGTGTTACCCTTCCTCCAGCAGAATCGAGGCGTGTTGTTTCAGCAGGATAACGCTACTCCCCACACTGCTGTTGTTACCCGGAACTTCCTGAACAACAACAACGTAAACGTCATTCCTTGGCCAGCAAGATCCCCGATTTATCACCTATTGAGCACCTATGGGATCATCTCGGCCGTCAGGTGAAGCAACGTCAACATCCCCACAGACAAGAAACGCTTTGGCTCAAGATCTACAGGAAGAATGGCGTCGCATCCCACATCACGTGATCAGACGTCTTGTGCACTCTGCACGACGTCGTGTGGCAGCATGTATTGCTGCAAGAGGTGGACACACTCGCTACTGAGGAGTTGGACACTCAAAGACACTCTGTCAGTACTGATGTGCATGTGTTGTCATGATCGAAAACCGGACATTTGAACCTCCTGTGAAAAACGTCACAAAAACTCTACTTACAGCAAATTGTTTCAATTGTTCTGTAATGACAGTCTGCATAATATGTTCAAAAATTATATCAAACATTTCAACATTGAATTGCACGTGTTTGTATCATTTTATGATACAAAAATGATCGGGGACGTTTCTTTTGCCCCTCAGTTTAAAAATTATTACAGAAGTCGGAGGTGTCTGCTATATAATGGTAGCAGAGAAACCAACCATGGCTGGCATATTATGTTGTTGCTGCGCCTAGAAATAATTTTAACACGGACACTCAAGACTAGTTCCAGTTGTTGAAAAACTGACCCAACTACCAATATCCAATAGCGCGATAAATATATATCTCTCTCACAGTTCCTGAACCGCATTATTATCCATTCTGCCAAGTTCTTTCTGCAATGCTAAACTTCTGAATGAATCAATTCTAGATTTCCTCAGGAATGTCTCTTCTCATTAAGGCTTCTCAGTTTAAAAGGAATTGTTTCTTTCTGTCAAAATTATATACACTCAGAGAATAATCGTTAGTCTACGATAAATACAGATTCGCGGAGAAGCTGCGACGATATCTTTAAACCAGATACAAGTTTCAACAAAAGGAGAGAAAATGATTTTTTATATTATTAACACTATTAAATAGCGGTGTTATTAAGGCTGCACCCTGTGAAATGAGAGATAAAGTCGTTTTACTTTGGCTATGTCCAAAAATAATGCCCAACACCAATAAAGCAGATGAAGTGTTTGTCATCCTAGGAGGTGGCGTGTGGCTTGTGTGATATTCTGACATACACGTTGACGATTAATAGCCGTACAAGGGATTAGGAGGTGCGAAATGACTCTATCTCTAGAGGCGATATCTAAGTGGTAAGTAATAGAATCGTCAGACGAAGCAGGGTGTATTGGTGCCTTGCATGTTGAGGAATGTGTCAAGACGATTTTTGCGAACTGGGCTCTGGAACTGTGATGTCACGTGTCTTGTTTGTCTTAACGACAGTATCGAGGATGATCTATTTGAATACACTGAAACCCAAAATAGACTATTTCCATCTTAACGGTTCTCCACCGACAAGGTTTATAAACAGGTTCGGTAAAACACTTCTTGACATGTCCTCAGCTTTTAATATTCATATTATGAATGGTCGTTGTGGCAGTGATGCACAACTCGGAGATTTTACTTACATAGGTCTGAATGGTACAAGTGTTATTGACTGTGTTATTTCGGTGGCAGCATTATTTGACCATGTAAATGATTTCAGTATACAATGACGTATAGAATCAGACCATCTTCCCATTATATTACGAATAAAATCAAATCATAATAAAAAGCTGATACATACAACAGGTCTACTTGGGATAATGATAAGTCAGGACAGTTCAGAGGAAATTTGCTATCAGAGAACGTTCAGTTGATTGTGACAGATGTGATCTGTTCAGCGGCTTCGTGTATGAGAAAACTACCATGACAACACTGGACAGACCAACCTGAACCGGCAACATTCAGAACTTACTGAAACTATACTTGATTCACCAACCACTAGAGAAGAGATTTTAGAAAGTATTGACAATTTTAAATCAAACAAAGCACCAGGATTTGATGGCATGATATCAGAATTCTTTAAACATTCGTCAGACCTTATCGTACCATACCTAAAACTACTATTTAATATTATCTTTATATGAGAACGTGAAGGCTTGTGTTAAAACTAATCAAGAATTTTCGGAAACGTTAGAATTACAACTTGGTGTAAGGCAAGGATGTATACTTAGTCCATTCCTGTTTTTATTCTTCATCAATGAGCTTGCTGTTCAAATCGAAACTAATTGTTCAAGTGGCATACAACTTCATCCAGAAACAGTCAAAAGTTCCCACTGTTGTTCGCAGAAGACGTTGTTTTGTTTTCAAGTACCGTTAGTGTCCTGCAAAATCAAATAAAGGATCTTGAACATTACTGCGATAAAGGGAAATTGACAGTAAATAACGAGAAAACAAAAATCGTAGTCTTTAAAAGGAAGGTAAACTTTCTGAAAAAGAAAAGTGGTTAGTTAAGGGTATATATCTAGACTGTTAGCTATTATAAATATTTGAGGCTGTATTTAACCAATGGTTTGTCTTGGACCATGCATGTCAAATATGCTTCGCTCCATGCGCAAAAAGCATTTATCGGTATTATGAAGACAAGAATTACACTTGGAGATATTTTTTACAAAACCTTTCTTAAGATTTTTCATGCAAAAATAAACCCAATTTTGACATATGGAGCAGAAATCTGGGGAATTGACTTTCAGCAAATAGAAAGAATACATTTTTATGCATGCAAGAAATTTCTTGGTGTTGAATTGAATACAGTTAACGCAGTGGTTTACTGAATGTGGCAGATATCCAATGCACTTGTTTACATGCATAAAAGTTGTCAAATACTGGTTAAAACTGTTATAAATATGCCTCCATATCGATTACCGAAATTATTTTATTGTATGATGTTATTGTATGATATGAAAATGGACAAAGAAATTGGACAACACATGTTAAGAACTTCTTATTTTCTGTTGGCTTCGAGGGGCGGTGGGGTAGCCTAGTGGTTAAAGCGTCCGCTCGTCACGCCGAAGACCCGGGTTCGAATCCCCACATGGGTACAATGTGTGAAGCCCATTTCAGGTGTCCCCCGCAGTGATGTTGCTGGAATATTGCTAAAAGCGGCGTAAAACTAAACTCAGTCAGTCAGTCAGTCTATTGGCTTCGGAAACGTTTGGAATGCACAATATGTAGAATCTCATACATCATTCATGCAGTCGTTAACCATAAGACTTAAAGTGAGTGAGGGAGTGAGTTTAGTTTTACGCCGCACTCAGCAATATCCCAGCTATATGGCGGCGGTCTGTAAATAATCAAGTCTGGACCAGACAATCCAGTGATCAACAGCATGAGCATCGATCTGCGCAATTGGGAATCGATGACATGTGTCAACCAAGTCAGTGAGCCTGACCACCCGATCCCGTTAGTCGCCTCTTACGACAATCATAGTCGCCTTTTATGGCAAGCATGGGTTGCTGAAGACCTATTCTACCCCGGATCTTCACGGGTCCATAAGACTTAAAGACATATATCTTCACACATGGTGTGAGAAACTATCTTTGTCAAGTAAATGTTTTATTATTGAAAATTTAAAAATGATCTATTCAAAGAAGTATACTTATCATGTGTTAACATAAAGAAATTAGGTGATCAATGGCAAGATTCCGATGTTCATCTCACGATTTATTGATTGAAAGCGGCGATATAAAAATGTTAAAAAAGAAGACATAATTTGTTCACTTTGTAATTTATATGAAATTGAAGATGAATATCACTTCCTTCTCATGTGTCCATCGTATAATTCAATACGTTGTAAATATATCAAAAGGTAGTACTATATGTCCATCCAAGTATTATAAAATTCTCTACTCTTATAATCAGTAGAAATAGAAATATATTATTACAAAATTTTGCCATGTTCATTCACAATGCAATGTTTGTATAGAACAAATGTTTTATCACCGTAATGTAAATATATTTATTTATGTAATTCTCCATCATATGTGTATATGCCCTGTAGGCCTGTGGCCTCTTCAGTACGAAATAAAGATTGATTGATTTACTGAACTGGTGGTGCTTTATATATTTTGATGAGTGAGTGAAATACCAATTCCGTGGGCTGTAACAAACTCAGTTTACTGGGACGGACTGCAGGTATTGTACACTCTTGTTACTTGGCCCGTTATATACAACGCCCTCTATCGCATACCTAAAGGAAGAAGCCACTGCTCTAACACAACGCGTTTCCCGTGCACGGAGCTTGCCTTGTTGTCATGTGATGTAGCCAAAATGGCGGACGTAAACGGTGAACAAGTGCCCACAGAAAACAATGAAGATGTTGTGGAGCCAGAGATAAAGGAATCGACGCACTATATGTTTGAAGATGGACAGGTTTTAACTTACATATTTAATTATATATATGATTCCGGTTTGGCTCTTCCGTCAGTAATACATATAGGACTACTCGGTACATGTCGAATTCACTGCCTGGTGGTAAACTGCAGTACACTGTTTACGGAGAGTTGAGTCACAGTTATCGTGTTGTTTGTTTTTAATATGTCCAGGACATGATATTATCTTGAAGACAAAAACATCCTGTTGATATTTTTCACACATAAACTTGTCATATCAACAGGAAGTTTTTTCCTCAAGATAATATCATGTCACTGGACATATTAAAAACAAACAACGTTCATCGCTCCAAAGGTTAATGCAAAGTTGATGCTTACATCATGTTGATTTAAAGGGACACTGATCCAGAGCGATTAATGTTTCGCGCCAACAATCTAATTTACGTCAGGTGGACAGTCCCTGCTCCTTCGACCGTGACGTACACGGTGACTGGGCAGTTGTCCACATTGGCAGAATTTCTTCTACCTAAACAATGCCCATGGATAATAAGAACGGTGTCGTTCAGATTCCGTTATTTGAAAATATCCCCGGTAGTTCTTGTCTGATTGTAACGAAGTATCCCAGTAGTGTAGGCTTTTTTGGATTTTCTGATGCGTATGGTATAGTGACTGATCCAATTTGATCCTATTTCTGTGTCTTTTTACCTTGATATTTAATCATGTCATGTGACAATGTATGCGATTTCTATTGACTTATGCTCTTAATAACACACATCAGGGGTGGAAATAACTTTAAAATTAAGTGTACTCCGGTACAGTAGCACATGTAAAATCACTTGCCCTGATAATGTTTCCACTATACCGTCCATTTTCTTGTTGATTTTTTAAATAAACAACATAATCAATATTGGAAAGTCAACTGGACACCGGTACAGGGTGATATACAAATTTGCTTGCCCAACAGAAAAAAACACTGGACTCGGGCAATGGGTTATTTCCACCCCTGCACATTTGATTTATTTGAATCTGTAAACTAAATCACCCCCACTTTGCCATTGCTAGAAAAATCCTGAATTTATTTACTTATGCTTATATGTATTTCTTATCATGCAACAAGGAAGTTGAGTGTCAACCCCTAAGTTTTTTAGGCAATTAAAATTGCATGCAATACAGTGATTACATCGATCAAAGGATTAACTGATATCATACTGATTGATTAATTACTTTCATCTTGCACAGCTGATTTGTCAAACGGTAGTGTTTATGTACGTAAGATTTAACTTCTTTAAGTGGCATTTAGAAGCTGGTATGATGAAGAGGAACACTTTTTATGGATAGACAACTTCTTTATTAACACCATTATCAAGCAAATGATACACAACATTATGCCCAAGAAGAAATATACTAGTTGTCACTGATAAAGGGTCAAATGATATATAGCACATGTGAAGAAAAGTTTCTCAGAAATAATAGAACTAAGAGTGTCATCATTGTGTTGATAAACGTGATACATCGTGACATACAGACAAAAAGTTCAAACAGGATACAGCACTAGCAAACAGCAGTTGTTTAGACCAACCCTCCAAAATGAAAATGACAAACATGAAGCACTCGGTCATTTAATACCTTGTGTACTCTCCTCGCACATCCAAAACACAGGTTCACCTTGTTCTCATGCTCCTTGTCAAGTTCATAAAGAAATCTTGCGGAATTGCATCCCATTCCTCTACTGGAACTCTGCGGAGTCCTGGGAGATACACAGGTGCTGGGTGATGTGTGTACACACATCAACAGAGTTCATCCCAGGCATGCTCAATTGGGTTGAGGTCTGGCGAGCATACTGGCCACTCCATCTGCTCTACACCCTGCTGCTTAAGGAATTCTGTGACAATCCTTGCCGTATGAGGTCTAGAATTGTCGTCTTGCAGTAAAGTGGGTCGACCATAAATGTAAGGCTGGGACGATTCACCGTTGCATCAATGCATCGCAATACATTTAAGTTTGATACAACTATCGTATCGGTGACTGGTGTATCGATACAAAACGATACACAACTTTTTTTCAAAACAGTATTATCTTAAACATGTTACAGTACTTATTTAGAGAAAAATACGCAAGTATGATGGAGTTACTTGTTTGTTTATTACAATAGTGTTATTGTTAAACACAAATACCTTGAAATAAATCATTTGAAATCTTGATACCAAGTCATTCTTTCAAGGTGTATGTATCATGATATGTATCGTAATCGCAGGTAAAATATCGCGATATGTATCGTATACTGACATAGTGTATTGCCCCAGCCCCATGCATAGCTTGCTTGCTATAGGAGCTAGAATCTCGTCCCGATAACTCTGTCTGGTTGACCACGTGCAGTGGAGTACGTCCAGTAGGAGTTATCCCTGCCAAAACCATGACTCCTTGCAGCGTTTCGCTTATGAAGACATGACGAAGGTGTTCTAACTCGACTTGAAGGGCTTAGGTTGTGGAGCTGATGTTCTTTGCTCTTTTGGCAAGGATGGCGATTATACCTCTCGTGACTTGTAGTGGGCGACTAGATGAGAAGTGAAGATATTGGTTGGTTGGTTTCCTATAGACACTTGAGTGGAGCTTGTTGTTGTCTTTTTCTACCTGGACTTCGAGGAATGGTAGCTTGTTGTCTTCTTCCATTGTGAATTTCATGTGTGGATGTTGGGCATTAAGGTAGTTGAGAAGGCAGATGGGATGATCGGTGGCGTTGATTATGACAACAGTGTCGCCTACTTTCCTGAACCAGCATACGGGTGTGACAGGTGAGGTGAGGAGTGCCTTGTCTTCTAGTTCTGTCATGTAGATCTTGGTGATGATTGGGAAGAGACGGGATCCCATCGGCAGACCATGGGTTTGTGGGTAGATTTTGTCAGACTTACACTGAATACACCCACATTCTGTTGTATATGCTTGTGTAAATACAACGTCCTTCCTTCAAAGGATTAACCACCAATACGTTGATTGATTGCTGTGGATATTGATGGATACATTCATGACCTGACAAGGGGCAAGGAAAAACCCAGAAACGTTCTGTATACAATAAAGAAGAAGTTGACATCCATAATATTTTGTCTTCAACACACACTAGGTCGCACTTAGGGGTGTGTGAGAAATATGATTCACGTTGGCAATCTATAAAATGTCTGGATATTATAGTCATATTACAGCGCATTGGGGTAGCCCAGTGCTTAATGATAATAATAATAATAATAAAATGCAGATTTCTTCATGCGCCTTTTCCACGTCAGCAGATATGCTCAAGGCGCAACAATGACAGATTAAAAGAGTCTCCCACATTTATACAGCAATATGTACACGTCCAAAATAGAGTTCCTAATAATACATTGAAAACAGGTATGTTTTGAGTCCTGACTTGAATGTGGCAATACTATCAGAAACTTTCAGATTGTATGGGAGTGAATTCCACAAGGTTGGGGCTGCATATGAAAAGTCCGGGTTTCCACAAGTTTTAAGCTTGAAGTTTGGCACGAACAGAAACTCCTGATTGGCTGATCGAAGGCAGCTTTTGTTTGAGTAAGGAGTACGCAGGTCAGAGAGATATGGGGAGCAAGTCCGTGACGGGCCATGTAGGTCAAGCAGAGGATTTTGTAGTCGCTTCTTGCCTTGATGGGGAGCCAGTGCAACTGTTTAAGAACAGGTGTGATGTGGCCATGTTTGGGAATGACTGATGATAATACGTCGGCCGTGTTCTGCACCTTCTGTAACTTATCCAATAGCCTCTGACTGATCCCAAACAACAAGCTGTTGCAGTAGTCGAGCCTTGAAATCACAAGCGCCCGGACTAAGGCATGGGTGGCTTCAGCTGTAAGATATTGACGGATGTTGCTGATGGAGCAAAGCTGGAAATAGCAAGTCTTACAGATATTGTTCACCTGTGTTTCCATTGACAGTGATGTATCAAAGTATATGCCTAGATCTTTGACAGATGAGCTTTTAGGAACAACTGCATCGGCAATGGTTAGGTTCTTAATGGGACATCTTGAAATTTGGTGACTTGTTCCTACCAGAAGTGCCTCAGTCTTCGTGTCATTGAGTTTAAGCATATGAGTTGTCATCCAGGACTTGATTTCCCCTGTGCAGTTTGTGAGTTCTTGAAGTGACTGATTTAGATTTTGCAGTGGTATTTTCTTGAGGAGTTGGGTGTCATCTGCGTAAGAGTGATGCGACATGTTGTGGACTGATGTGATGTTGGCAACATGACCAGTATACAGCAGGAATAGCAACGGTCCCAAAACAGATCCCTGTGGTACTCCATGTTTGAGAGTAATGCTGTCAGATCTGTCTTTCCCTATCATTACACACTGCCGTCTGTCACAGAGATAGGATGCTTAAAGCATTTGCTCATCACACCGAAGACCTGGGTTCGATTCCTGACATGGTTACAATGTGCGAAACCCATTTCTGGTGTCCCCAGTCGTGATATTGCTGGAATATTGTTAATAGTGGCGTCACTCACTAGCGCTGTAATGATGCATCGAACTATCGATGGATTGCAAATTTTTTTTGTTGAGTCTCCGATAGCAGTTAATCGATGGTAGAAACGAAAAACTATGGATGCATCGATAATATGTGTGACTGTCGATAGTTTAGAAATTGACTTCCGTTGATAAATGCACAGAGCAAAATACAGGAAGTACCAGATTCGTTCACTTTGATTTAGAGTTATCCGCCCAGTTACCTCTGAAATATTCTTGATCTGGATTTCAAGTTTCTTGTCAGTTATTAAACGAGACAGAAACTACTTCAGCTTGTTTTTATTTCATATAAACTATACATTCATTTGGGAAATGACTTCAAATGAGACAATTCAAGGAGAAAAAAGACTATTGCAATAGTTGGTCACAATAGACTATCGCTATCCTGATAGTTGTTTCCATCGATAGTTTGATGCATCATTACAACCCTAGTCACATGTCTTTGTCAGGATGTAATATTTAAAAAATATCCATATCATTATAGCCCGTGTTCATGTATCAACTGATTGTATCA